TTGAGGGGAGGGCATGATTGTAGAAGACCATGAATTGAGGTCTAGAGATTTTTTTTTTTTTAAGATTTTATTTATTTATTTGAGGGGGGGGTTGGGGGAGGGAGAAGCAGGCTCCCCACTGAGCAGGGAGCCTGATGCGGGGCTCGATCCCAGGACCCCGGGATCATGACCTGAGCGGAAGACACACGCTTAACCGAATGAGCCACCCAGGCGCTCCGAGGGCTAGAGATTTTAATGAATGAGAGGCAGGGGTGTTAGAAATGAGAGGGAGCGGAAAGGTCGTGGAAGTCCTGTAAAATGGACGTTTGTTTCTGCTTGTCCCCCATTCATTCATTCCTCCTTCTATTAGCAGCCTCCTGAATCTGCTTTGGAAACCACCTCCATCCTCCCCAGCCACACAGGGAGCTTCTAAGATACTAACAATATTCTCTTAAGCTGCGGGGTAGGAGGAACATGAGTATTTATTGTTCTTTAAACTGTAGAGATACATTTTATTCTTTAAACATTTTATGTACTTTATATGTACATTTCACAATTCAAACACACAGACCTACAAAAAATTTCCTTTCTCCACTCTCCAAAGATAAGGACCTGGTACAGGTCTGGGCAATCAGAGTTAACAAAGCTTGGTTTCAGTGCCTGACCCAATTTAGGCTCATGAGACACCAGCCCAGGGCTTTGGCCAGAGCTATCAGGAAAGAGACACTCTTTCTGCTGAAATTGTGAGGTTTATTTGTAGAACATATCCCTTCGCTAGCTTGAGGATAAAACTAACACCTAAGAAAGCAGAGCCAAGAGACGGAGGGTGACAGATTTCCGATATCATTTGAATACCTAGTTCCAGCCACTCCTGAAGCCGAATTACCTGGGGCTTTTCAAAAACATTAAAGCCAGGAGATTTTTTTTTCTTCGCCAGTTTGCATTTGGTTTATGTCCTTTTAACTAAAAGGAAACAAATTTCAGCAGAATAGCCAAATAAAGGGTTCTCAATTCAACAGCCTGTGTGACGCTTTTCAACACACAAGTCAAATCACGCCCTCCTTCTGCTCAAGACTCTGCAGTGGCACTCACAGAAAAGGCCAACATTCTCAGGGTGGCCTATGAGGCCCTACACCATCTGGACCCTCCCCTCTCTGCTGTCAGCCTACAACTCTCCATTGTCCACTCTGCCTCAGCCATAGTGGCCTCTGGGCTATTCCACAACACACCAGGCAGATGCCTGCAAGCCTCCGCTTTGGCTGTTCCTTCCACCTGGACCCGCCTCCAGACCTCCACTCGCTAACTCCCTCCCTCACCTGCTCCACGTCTCTACTCAAAGCTCCAGTTCTCAGGAAGGTCTATCCAAATCCTCCTCCCACAGCCAGTGATCCTGAGCCCCCTCCCCAACCTACTTCTTCTCCCTTCCATAGCATTTATTACAGAACATAGGACGTACTCAGTGAGAAGTACCCAATGAGGGCAGGGGTCTTTAACCGGCTGACTCATCTCAAGTTCCTGGAAGAGTGCCTGTCTCATGATAGGCCCTCAAATATGTGGCTGAACCCATACAATAAGCTGGGCCAAGAGCTTGGTTTGTAAAGGGCCGTGGGGAGAAAGGACACTGACCCCCATCTCCTGATCCTGATATAAGTGGAATAGATAAGGAAAAGACACCTTTGGAAGAAGTAGCCACCGAAGAGGGCAGGAAGTAGGCAGAAGAGTTCAGTGAAGAGGCTGCGGGTGTGGAAAGGAGAGTTAACCACAGTTGGGGCTTGAGTGGGCTTGGTGTCTGAGTGTTGGGAGGCACACAGAAGTTGGAGGCTGAGTCAGGGAGAAGCAGCCCTGAGTGGTTTGCAGATGAAAGTAAAAAAAGAGTCAGGCCAAGTGGTTTATTTACATTCTAGGTGGAGATGAAGGATGAAGTGACAGAAGGCCTGGTGGGTTCATCAGGCATGAAAAGAATTAGTCCTAGCAACCCTTGGAAGAAGGATTCTCCCGTAACTCCAAGGTTTGAATGATTTTAGAAGTTAGTGGATGAAAAAGCCATCATATTTGATTGTTGTTTCCTTCTCCAGCAAGCATCCCAGACGCCATTCAGAAGTGTGTGCTGGACCAAGACACGAGGCTTCCCCGTTCTTGGCAACATCCTGGGCCCACAGAAAGCAATTCCCCTCTGCGTCATACAACAGCCCTGTGCCATGAGCAGCCTGTCAAACCCTCATTCTCCAAGCTCAGAACTGACTCTGAACCAGGCATCCAGGGTCACAACTCCATTTTCCAGAAAGGCGAGAAAACAGGTTTCTTTTCAAAGACAGATCACAGCACTCAGCTTTCCTACCTGTCCTCCAACGACCCCCGCGCTGCATGGGCAAAAGAAGGAGGCCAAACAGAAGGCTTCCTTCCACTGGTCCTGACTCACCTTGGTTGAATGCTAGCCTCTCTCTACAGAAATTTCTCCACAGTCGCTAGAACACACGTGCATGCCAAGATTCAAGGAAAATGTTACTTCCAGTCAGGGAAAGAAATTACATTATTTAACCTCTAAGGAAAAGTGGCTTACTATAAATCAGGCCCTTGGGAGTGATGTCATTTTGATGCTTCTTACAGCTGTAAGGAGACTTATTAAATATTCAATAATTAATAATAACGGCTTCAAGATGGTCTTTCTCACGAACTGTCCCTGTAAAGGAAGCCAGCAGTATTTAGACTTGGGCCTGAGTTCCCACCCACCAACAAGATCTTAGTGGTACAGGGCGTTTGTCCTCCCTGTACTTATTAGTAAAATGCCCATATTTCTGAGACAGGTATCCTCCAAGAGTGGATCATTAAGCAAATGTTTTTTGGGTTTTTTTTTAAGATTTTATTTATTTATTTGATAGAGAGAGACACAGGAAGAGAGGGAACACAAGCAGGGGGAGTGGGAGAGGGAGAAGCAGGCCTCCCATGGAGCAGGGAGCCCGATGCGGGGCTCGATCCCCCGACCCCGGGATCATGACCTGAGCCGAAGGGAGACGCCTAACAACTGAGCCACCCAGGTGCCCCAAATTAAGCAAATGTTTAAACCAGTGGGGGCACCTGGCTGGCTCAGTCGGAAGAACATGTGACTCTTGATCTCAGCATCATGAGTTCGAGTCCCACACTGGGTGTAGCGATTACTAAAAACTATAATAATCGTAATAGTAATAATAAACACAAAATTTTTAAAAAATAAATAAAATAGCCATCAGTGGCAACCAGCGTTCAAGATGGCTCCAATATTTATACCTCCTGGTATTTATACCCTCTTCCCACTTTGTACTAGCATTGGTCTGTGGCAGAATGATGTCACTTCCAAGATTAGATTATACAAGAGTGTAGCTTGAGTCCTGGGATCTCTTGCTCTCTTAGACCACTTGTTCTGGGGGGAAAAAAGCTGCCGTGTCCAGCAGCCCTATGAAGAGGAACTAAGGCCTGCCAACAGCCGAGTGAGTGAACGAATCCTCCCCCAGCCCAGACTTCAGATGACTGAAGCCCTGGTCAACACCTTGACTGCTACCTCAAAAGAGACCTGAGGTCAGAACCACCCAGCTAAGCTACTCCTAGGTGACACTGTTGACCCCCACACACTATTTTCAGGTGCTAAGTTTTGGAGTAATTTGTTAGACAGCAATAGATAATTAATTCACTATCCTGAGAAGGAAATCAGAAGGTTTAACTTGGGTCCCTGTCCTACATGCATGTAGGAACAATGTCTCGGTCTAGAAGAAAGCAACAAATTATTCATTCAGTCACTCAACAATTGCTTATTGAATGTCAAATATGCACAAGGTATTTCCAAGCAACATAACCCTTCATATCACTTATTATCTATAAAATAAAGAGAAATAATCACAAACAGCCTCCCCCCCCACACACACACACACTTCAAACTGCTCAATCCATTGGTTTCATTAGCTTTTCAAGCCTTTTTGCTCCTAATGCTCTACTCCCCACTCCTGGCTTTCATAAACTCTTTTATGAAGGTACATCAAGTTCCCCTCCATAGCTATTTTGAGTGCTCGGTGCACTAATACTCATTTTTATTGTACCACATGCCCTCCCATCTATCGGGGAAAGAATTGGGTCCTCTAATCCCATCTAATATTGGGACTAGGAGGAATTCATTTAGTATTTTACCGGGAGGAGGGACTCCTAATTACAAGTGTTAAGAGCAATTCTAATTTCTGCAATTAATGAGTAGGTGGCCACGGCAGCGCTGACAGAATCACAGCTCAAGCTCTGGTCCCAGCTGAAATGGAGGGGTAGGAGGATGCCGCCCCTTACCCTTCGCTGGACTCTGCTCTCTCAAAGCAACACCAGGATTATGCTGCTCTAAGAAAATCAGGAGCCTCCTTCTGCACAAAGAAGGTCAAAGGGCGAGCTTTCTTTCCATCAACCACAAAACGGGCCTCTGCCGAAGCTAACCAGTGTGGAGGGCCGTCAGAGGTGAACCTAGCCCCGGAGAGAAAACCACAGCGAGACTCTCCCCTCGCCGGCCAGGGTCTGAGTCAGGTGACCCCGCAGGGCACACAGCAAACCTAAACAAAGATCACTCCCCACATGACAGAGCGTGGGGAAAATGACTCTGGCAGTTAGACCAAGGCTGCCAGTCCTACCACGGAAAACCATTAACTCTTGCTCCTTTGCAGTCCCAGGAAAGTGGGGGAGCTACAAGTTACCCGACAGCTCAGCCTTCGGGGATGCACCTGGAGGAATTCGGGACCCCATCCCAGGACACACGCGCCGGCCACCGCACACCCGCCACCGGCCCCACCACGCGGGCAGGACCCCTCCCCACCAGCTGTCACTGGCGCCCGCCCCCTCGCGGCTACGACCCCGCGGGGGCGGCAGGGACGGACGCTTTTTCGGAAGGCTCTGGGGCCCAGGGCCCGCCCGCCCCCGGGTTGGGGCGCCAGGGTGGGCGCGGCGCGGCGCCGGTTGGGAGCTCCGGGTCCACCATCCCCGAAATTCGCCTCGCGGTCCCCAAGCCCCGCGCGCCCCACCTTGTCGCCGAAGCTGCGGGCCATCAGCAGGTCCGGGCTGGGCGTGCTGTCGCCGCCCACGGCCTCCTCGCTGCTGGAGCCGGCCAGCGGGTGCGGCATGTCGAGCAGGGAGTGGGGCCCGGTGGACGGCAGGCCCTTGGGGGGCCCGCCCGACATGGCGCGCACGGCTCAGGACGCGCCGCCGCCGCTTCCTCCCGTGCCCGCCGCGGCGGGCTACCTCAGCGCCCGCGCCCAGGCCCGGCTCGGCCGCGGTCGGTCGGAGGCCCTCCACCAGCCGGGCCGGCAGCCGCCGCCGCCGCCGCCCGCCGGCTCGTCTCTGGCGGCGCGGGGCCGGGCCGGGCTGCGGCCGGGCTGGGCTGGGCTGGGCTGGGCCGGCTGCTCGGGTCCGCGCGCCCCGCTCCGCGCCCGAGCCCGCCGCGGTTCGCTCGCACCTTGGCCGGGGGCGCCCAGCCCGCTCCGCCACGCCGCCCAGCCCGCTCGCGGCCCCGCCCCCGCGGCGCCTCGGCCGGCCCTGGAGGGGGAAGGAGGCGGGAGCCGAGGGGAGGAGGCCGGAGGAGGGAGGGGAGGGGACGAGGAGGCGCGCCCGAGGCCCCGCCCCTGCCCGCCGCCCGCCGCCCGCCGCCGCCGCCCCGCAGGAAGTGCGCCCTGAGCCCTCGGCCGCTGTCCTCCGCGTGGCCAACCTCGCCTCCGAGAGGCCGCCTTGAGGGGGCCGCGCGCCGTCCCCAGACACATGTTTAACGGGAATCAGCGGTGGAAAAGGACGTTGAGCATCCTGTTCCATTCCACCCGCGTTTACTGAGGCGTCCGCGGGAGCCACGCGGGGGGCGGGGGGGGAGGTCTGGGGCCCGCACATGAGTGGGGATCTTCTGGCCTCGAAGATGACCCAAAATGGAATTTCGCCGCGTATTATCAGAAGGGCATGAAAGGCTCTGAGGCGCAGAGGAGCTGGAGGACCTGGGGTGGGGAACCCAGACGGGAATTCAAGGAGGCAGCGGGAGGTTTCTTCCCGTGCGCGGCGACATCCCCAGGCCGTCTTGCTTCTGCAGGGAAGCCCACTTCGTGCAAGGGTAAACCTCAGTGAGCGTCAGAAAAGAAAGACAGGGAACGCTACAAATGATGTATGATTCAAACTCACACCTTCACCCAACTGCCTGTTGAGAGAACCGTATTTTTCATGCGTTTGTGCTTCCTTTCCAGGCCTGTGGATGAGCGGAATTCTCATTTTTATTTGTTAGCAGAGTGGAAATAGTTAAGGCATTACATGAGCTCTTTGGGGTGGAAGTTCACCTCCTTTTCCCACCGTACCTGTCTTTGAAGCTTCTTTCCTTAGGACCGAGTCAGTAGAGGGCATGAGCCCGCACAAGAACTGATGGATGGCTTCTAGCAAAGTAGAGAGTAGGGTGGCCCACTGTGAGGGTGTACTTTTTCCTGTCGATTTCCAGCCTCTTTAGGTTTGTCCGGTTTCACCTGACAAATTTTGCAGTTGGAATTCACCGTGTTCTCCGCCACACCTTTATCGCGAAACGAGTAATACTTCAGCAGGAGGAGAATGCTGACCCAGAATATCGCTCAGAGACTCACTGAGCTTCAGAGACCTTCCCTTATTTACCCTGGTGTAATTCGCTGGGCCTTAGCCCTCAGGTTATCTTTTCTCTCCCCAACATGGCTCTGCCTTGGTTGGGGAGAATAGGATTCAGAGGGCACTGGGAACAATTTTAAATGCTGCGTCTATCTACCTCACAAGAATGCCAATGTCTGGTCCTCCTAGAGGTGGGTAAAATTAATACTTTTATATTCAAGGGCTGCTTACAACTACTACCGAACCTATTAACTGTTCTTATTAGCACCAAAATAAATAGCATGGATATAACTAGAAATGAGGGTTCTGTAGATGGATAACATTGGTGTCTCTTCCGGAATAGGATTATTTATTTTAACAAGCAGCCCACCTTAACATAATAGAGAGCTTACTTTATGAAGACTCTGCTCAGCTTTCTCCTCAGGTCACCAGGGAAGAGTGAAAAGAGAACCACATTTGGATTCCTGCTTAGTCACAAAAGTGGGTGACCATGAGCAAGTTACCTAACCTTCATGAACCTGTTTCCTAACCTAGAAAGGAGGAGGGAGCAGGTAATAATAGTTGCCTTGGTGGTTGTTGTGGAATAATATATTCGGTATGTAACATTCCTAGCAAAATGCTGGTGTGGAAGTGACATTTCCTAAATGTGAATTCCCTTTCTCTCCCTCAGCTTTTCTCTACTATTGTTACAAAACGATAATCCTAGAGTTTTCATAACTGAACATGCTGCCCTCCAAACTCTTCTACTTGCTTAGTTTGGATCAGAGTACCATTTTTCTGTGCTCCTACCAAAAATAAACACCCCCCCAAAAAAACCCAGAGTTCCTAAAAGGCCATATGAAAGACTTTATTCATTTATTTTCCGGTTTCCTGGTTGGTCAATGGCATCTGGCCACCATGATCTGGTGGGTAGTCATCAAAACTAAAGAAAGTGAACTTGTATGGAAAACATTTTGGTATAAAGTTTCCACCATTCAAATTTAGCCCAGGGCTGCCTATTCATACTCACCACTTCCTGTTGTATTTCAGTGTTCCTTGTGGTGGGAAATTGTCCCTGAAATAACATTAAGTGTCCTAGAGTATGTGGCTACACTTCTACCGAAAGCTTTCAGAGCAACATGGTGGGAAGGAAGAAACGTGAAGTTTTTATATCTGAACAGAAGTTTGTAGTGTTTATTGGAATTTATGGAGGGAAGCTTGTATCTCTAGGCCTGAGTTGTGAGGAAGAATGCACTGGATGTTATATGCCTGGGGATATGGGGGAGATGCCACCAGATCCCAAGAACACAGGATGGGATGGGGCCTTGCACCATCCACAGGGAATCTTAGGCACTTAGGAAGGCACCTTTCAGGAGACGGGGCCTCGGACCCCAGAATTTGGCAAGTTTGCCAAGCTGGAATCCTGTAAACCTCACTAGCAAGTCTATTGGGGCTTTCCACGAGCACCCAGTCTTCAAACCTCAGAAACAAAGCAGAGTCACAACAAAGCATTCTCTCTTTCTTTCCCCTGGTACAGCATGTGCTTAGGCCTTATTCATGTTTGTGTTAGCTGCTTATCCTCTCCTGGTTTTTAATACAATCGTAGCTTTATTTTATATGGCATCCCAAACCCTGCCTCAAAATACCACCACCACTTCTGAAGTGGACGGCTGAGGAGGACAAAGGAGGTTTTCAAAGAGCATTCAGGGTGACATGTAGAAAGCCACAGAAGGCTGTCTCAAACAAGAGGGGCCACTGAGAAGACACCATCGCCAACACAGGCAAAATTGTGAGGACAATTTAATTCAGCCAATGATGGCGCAGGAGAAAGCAAGAGCCAGCAGGTCCACTTGAGGCCAGGATCTGAAGAGTTTTGCAAACAAGAAATTGGACCTTGCCCCAGAACCAGCAGAAAGGCTTGTGGGTAAATGGTAGGATCGTATTATGCTTCCATACCGAAACTCCTGGCCCCCAAAGCATAGAGACCCTGGGGCATTGGATAGTGCAACACAGACCATGGAGTTGGTGCCTCCGATCCACCTGTGAATTTGTCAAAATGCAAATTTTTAGACCTCACCCAAGAGATTTTGATTCTGGGCTGGTCCTGGAATCGACATTTTTCAACAGCCCCCCACCCCCACCCCCCACCCCGAGGTGATGCTGATACTGATCTATAAACTATACTCCGAGAAACACTCTCTGAGCTCCACCCATTTCTCTAAACCTAAGATGACATTCCAAACCACCTTTGGTAAACAGCACTTTTAAGTGCTTACTTTGGAGAAATTTCCTGTTTGCTGAAAAGTTTCTTAAAAGACAAAATTCTCTTACAAAATTCTATTATAGTGACCTTCTACCCTAAACTTTTATGGTTCTTTTTATGGAGCTTCTACCAGGTGCTTAAAATTTGGGAGAAGAGCATAGATGAACAAAACTATCCGTTGACAGATTCATTTCATAGCTCTGCCAGGGAGATGCCTCACCATGGAGTGGGTATTTTTCAGAGCCCCCCAAAAAAGTTCTTGGGATGGCCCTGCCAGCTTCAAGTCACTGGGCCTCATCGGGCCATCGCAGCGTCATTCGCCACCTTCACAAGGGGTACCTGCTACCGGGCTTTCTTCTCAAGCAGGCTCTGGAGGGCCCGGGGTGTTATGCATGCTGTTGCGGAGGCTGCCCATTAGAGAGGGTGAGCTGGAGGGCTGACAAGCGCTGGAAAACCCGGCACTGAGTCTCACTGGCCGTGAGAGGAAGGGAAACCTATTTACTGGCTGTGTGATCCAGGACAGTGTTTGGTTTCATCACCCGGCATGCTCCTTAAAAGGCATCTAGAAGGTAAACATCCAGACATCCTATGACCCAGTAGTTCCACTCCCAGAACACAGCAGAAATGCGTGTGTACATGCATCGAAGGATGGATGTGAGAATCTCTACAGCCGCGCTACTTATAATAGCCCAAACTAAAAACAATTTACATAACTGTCAACACTGGGAATGTTAGACAGCAATGACAGGGGAGGAACGGCATGGTGAGTGAATCTCACAACACAGTTTATTCAAAAAGTCATCCCTATGCCTAAGGCGGGGGGGTGGGGTGGGGTGGCAAACTCACGACCCCGAGATCAAGAGTCACATACTCCACCGACGGAGCCCGCCAGGCGCCCCTCACGAACGCAATGTTGAATGCGAGAAGCCAGATACAAAAGAGGGTCTACTTGGGGCTCCTGGGTGGCTCCGTCTTTTCAGCGTCCAACTCTTGATCTCAGCTCGGGTCTCGATCTCAGGCTCATGAGTTCAAGCCCTGCATTGGGCTCCACGCTGGGCATGGAGCCTACTTAAAAAAAAAAGAAAGAGTATCTACTTGATGACTCCCAATTGTCTAAAGTTCAAAAACAGGCACAACAAAAGTGCAGTTCTAGAAGTCAGAATAGTGTGACTTTCGTGGGGGTTTCTGGAGTACTGATAATATTGTTTCTTGATCTGGGGGCTGGGTTCACACAATGCATTTATGATCTGTGAGCCTTTATGTTAGGCTTTATTCAAAGTTTACATTTAAAAAAAAGGCAACTAGTCTATGCCCCTCACTTCATAAATGAGGAAGTTGAGGCCCAGAGATATTAAGTAACCTGTTCAAGGGCAATCAGCTAGTTCTAATGTTAAGTGCTTCCTTCCACTTGGATGCATAGGGCTTCACATGTAGGCTTGGGCAATACTCGTGTAAGTAAAAGGTAAAGGAGTGAGGGCAGAAGGAAGAAAAACGAGAAAGAGAGTGGTGTCAGCAGCTATTATGTACCTACCAGTCCCCGGGGCCCCTTTCCCCGCTGGTCGCCCTGTCTCTCTT